TTCTTTGTTCGACCCAATGAGGGTCAATTCCTTTTCAATACCTATTGGAGGTATCCCTTAATTCGCCTTTTCAGTAGTGAAGTCGAAATCACCCCTCTTATAAAGGTGCGAATTCAACAACTGACTAAAATTCCATCATTTCACCCGATCTAGGGTCAGTTTTGACAATGAGGAATATATTGCTAGTGGGGATCGGTCGTCCTACCGATATGTCCTTTTACTTTGCTCGTATTTTTATATATGTGAATATCCTTGACTTGTCTTTATTTTTTGGGCTTGATTGACTCGGTTGCTTGCGCGCATATATGGATTTTAATATAGACGAGGTATTGAAGTCCTTGCTTGAGCCAGTGAGCGATGAGGGATTCATCCCCACTGATGGTAAGTTTCGACATGTTTCATTTTTAGTTTTACTTTTGTACATCCCTCGACTCGTTGCTTTATAAGCTTGATAGACTCTACCTTGTGTGTACAAAGATGGAGTTCAATTTAGAGGAAACTATGGACTCCTTGGCAGGATGCGGTCGTGAGAGTGATGATGACCCACCTTCCATTCCATTGAAAAGGAAGAAGATCAATGATGGGAGAGCACTGCACCGTACCATCAAAGAGGCATCTTAACCTTTGGATAAGCCTGATGAAGTTATCCTTCCACTCTAGGCGGCATGGGACAACTCGAGTTGTGTCGTGATCAAGCACGAGGGTTCTCATCTTTCAGACTTTAGACTTTTCCCTTCTCGAGGCTATTCAGATATGAGGGCAATTAGATCCTTGGTTACGCCTGGATGTGCCCAGGTGATTGCCAGGTGAAGTGTTAGCGACATTGAGAGAATTCTATCGGTCCACACACTCAGAGGGTAGATTTTCTATTGTCCTTCTTTGTTTTTGTTTGTCTATTCTTTTGTACATGCCCCATAGTTATTTGATCTCTTGTTTCCATTAGGTTATGGATCTTCAGGTCGATCATGTCGAGTCAAGTCATCGCCTTCATCGGAGTTGAAGACCCTTACGGAAGAAAGGAAAAGAAAGTCTCACCAGTACAAAAAGAAAGTCTCATCTTTGAAGAAGTCTCTCGAAGTTTCAGAGGCTCGTGCTTGCGAGAAAAAGACAGAGATAGACAACCTGCAACTCTATTTTGGCTCAGGCTATCAAGGAAGCAGTGGAGAAAATAGAGCCTCCACAAAGTATGCTAAGGATCTGAAGGCGTGTGTGGAGATGTACAAGTCGTTATCTGATTTTGTTAAGGCCTTGCATTCTTATGGGGGGAAGGCGATGACGCCGTCCATCAAGCTGACCAAGGAGTGGATATCTGCTGAGCATCCTACCATCGATCCCTCAGGCTTCGATAGGTTTCTGGCGTAGCGCAAAGGAAAGAAAGGCTGAGCCCTTCAATCCAAGACGTTTGGGCACACATCACGAGGTGGGAGTAAAGGGATTTCGCATTCAGGTTGACATGACCTCTAGTTGTTGGCCTTTTAGCTCTTTATACTGTTATTCGATTTTTATGATTCGACTGTTTAGTGTTTTCTCCTGGTCCGAGATGTGGACATACATTTTTACCACATTTTAAGTTTGAATGCTTGCTTATCGAACATCATTGTAGTTTTTCCTTTCTCATCATTGGTGTCGCTTGCCAACATATGAGAGTTTATTTGCCTATCTTTATTGCTCATCATTATATGTCAATCTTGAGTTGTTGAATGCAGGGTTCAGTGATTTCGAGCTTTAACCATTTTAGGTTTTGAAAATTCACCACCAACTCTTAGAAAGATTTTAAGCAAGTCAATTTCTTGACCTTGTTGCTCACCGCTATGCGTCGAGCAACATCGAATGCAGGGTCTGGTGATTTTGAGATTTAACCATTTTAACTCACCACCAGCCGTTAGAATGATTTTAAGCTGGTCAATTTCTTGACTTTGTTGCCCACCGCTATGTGTCAGCAACGTCGAGTACAAGGTCTGGTGATTTTGAGCTTTAAGCATTTTAGGTTTAGAGCGATTTTGAGCTAGTCAATTTCTTGACTTTGTTGCTCACGGCTATGTATCAAGCGACGTCGAATGCAGGGTCTGGTGATTTTGAGCTCTAACTACTTTAGGTTTCGAGAACTCATCACCAGCCTCTAGAGTGATTTTGGTAAATTTCTTGACTTTATTGCTCATCGTTATGTGTCTAGGACATCGAATGCAGGGTCTGATGATTTTGAGCTTTAACGATTTTAAGTTTCGAGAACTCACCACCTACCGTTAGAGTAATTTCGTGCTAGTCAATTTCTTTACTTTGTTGCGCACCGCTAGGTGTTGAGTAATCTTCGATACGATAAGGGAGATTTGTAGTCTTCATTTCAATCAATCACATACCAAGATCTCATGGTAATTTTTAACTTGCCAAGATTTGGGGACTCAGTAGGCACACCAGGATGTCTTAGCTAGGTTGGCCCTTCCTTGGCGCCCTCATCATCTTCCGCCATTCGAGCTTCTTTATTAAATAATTTCAATAAAGTATGCCTGTAGCAGGCATTACATCACGAACATCCTAGCTACTATATTTACAATAGACCATTACATTAGAAAAGAAAAGTGAAAAGCCCTAACGACTATATTTATAGGAAAGCATCATATGACTCAAAATCCTAGCACATTGATCTACTAATAATACTTTTTGAGATGCTCAGTGTTCTACGGCCTACCTAGTGGTTTTCCTTTCAAGTCTTTTAGGCCGTAAGCTTCATTTCCAAGGCTTCAAATCACCTCATATAGTCTTTCCCAATTCGGCCCGAGTTTAGACTGACGGCGACCGATCTTCTAACTGAAAAACTATTGGTTTCACCCTATGATTGAAGTACCCAGCGGCCTTCCGCTATATGCTATCATCTTGATAGCTGCTATCTCTTTCTCTCTCACCCTTTCTAGTAAATCAAGCTTCGCGTTGGTGGTCGAGACATCAAGATGTTTAGCTTTCATTATGCCGTCTCGTTCAGGTCTTCTACTGGGACAACAACCTCTATCTCGAAGGCTAACTTGAAAGGTATTTCTCTTGTGGTTTTTCGTGGGATCGTGTGATGCGTCCACAGAACATTAGGTAATTCATCTACCCAAAGCCCATTTTCCTTCTCCAATCTTATTTTGAGATCCCACAAGATCGCTTAATTTGTTATCTCTGCCTGCCCATTAGACTGGGGGTGAGCTACATAAGTGAGTCTGATATCTAAGTGATAACTTGAGCAAAAAGCCTTGAAGCCATGGTTGACAAACTGAGTGCCATTGTTAGTTATGAGGACTCTCGGTATGCAAAATCTGTATATAATGCTATTCCAAATGAAGCTCCATACTTTTGCTATTGTAATAGTAGCCAAACACTCTGCTTTGACCCATTTTATAAAATAGTCAATAGATACCAGCAAGAACTTTCTCTGTCCCAAAATATCCATCACCCATTGGAAGCAAATGGCTTACTCCAAAAATGGTTGACTCTTGCTCGGCGGGAATATGAATCAAATTTCCATGATGCTGACATGCATCGCACTTTCTCACAAATTCCTTGGCATCCTCCTTCATTGTGGGCCAGTAGTACCCCTGTTGTAGAGTTTTGAAGGCAATGGTGGTTGCCCTTTGGTGATTGCCACAAATCTCAATACCTCATGAGCTTCAGTTGGGCGCAAGTATTTTAGGTATGGCATGGTAAATCCTCGCTTGTATAACTGCCCATCAATTATTGTAAATGAGGCTGCCCGAATTTTCAACTTCTAGCCTCAGATGCATTATTTGGCAATTTGATCTCCGTCAGGTAGCCCACTAGTGGGTCTAGCGAGCTTTCTTCATGTTCCGTGCTCGTTGTGTTAACTATGAACAAAATACTTGGCTGTCGCAGGACTTGTACATTTGTCATGCTAGGTAGGTTCTTAGGATTTGCCATGCTAGCTTGGACAGGACGTTTGCCCGCTCGTCGTCTCTGCGAGGGACCTTGGTTATCCTGAAACTTGTAAATCCCATTTGTAGGTCCCTAACTTTCATCAGATAGGATGCCATCTTTCCGTCTTTTGCCCCGAATTCACACTGCAAATTTCGACCGAGGTTAACCCAAGTCTGGCTGCCAACTCAAGCCCGTGATAATTGCTTCATATTCAGCGTCATTATTCATTATCGAGAATTCAAAGCTCAACGAATACTCCAACTCTTCAAATTTCGGTCCTATCATAATGATGCCTGCTCGAGACCCCTTACCGTATGAGGATCCATCCACGAAGATTTTCCAAACCGCTTTCATTTGCAAGAGACAGTTAAGCGGAATTGTAAGCTATGCGATAAAATCTGGTAACGCTTGTGTCTTGATGGCCATTTTTGGCCTAAAATCAATGTCAAATTCACTCAACTCGATCGCCCACTTAACATCCTACCCGACGTCTCAGGTCGATGAAAAATTTACTTGACTGACTGATCGATCATGACCTGTATGGTGTGAGACTGAAAGCACGACCTTAACTTTTTGACTGCTATAATTAATACAAATACCAACTGCTCTACGAGGCTATAGCGAGTTTCTGCACCCCTCAACACCTGGCTAACGTAATAAACAAGCTTCTACACCTTTGAAAATTCTTTCACCAGTACTGCATTGACCGCATGTTTTGATACTACTAAGTATAAACTTAGCACATCCCCTGCACATGGCCTAGTCAAGATCGGTGGCTGCTGCAATGACTGTTTTAAGGATTTAAGCGACTCCTCACACTCCTTGGTCCATTCAAAGTTGGTAGAGCCCCTAATCGCCTTGGAGAAGTGGTAGCACTTATCTGCTGCTCGACTCATGAAGCGATTCAATGTCGCTACCCATCCCGTCAACATTTGGACATCCTTCCTATTTTCAGGGCTTTTCATATCTAGTATGGCTCGAATCTTAGCTGAATTTTCTTTGATGTCTCTTTGTGTTATCATAAATCCCAAGAAATTACCGCATGCTATTCCAAAAGCACACTTCTCCGGATTGAACTTTAGTCTATTTCGTCAGGCCATGTCAAACACTTTCTGTAGGTCACTAACATAGTTGTTGGACTTTATACTCTTAACAACCATATCATCTACATACGCGTCAATAACTTTCCCAAGCAAGTCTCTAAAGACCTTATTCACCATTCTCTGATAAGTTACTCTAGCGTTTTTCAAACCGAATGGCATGGCCATGTAACAGTACATCCCAATATCGATTATGAACGAGGTTTTCTCCTGGTCCAACTCTGACATGGAGATCTGATGGTACCTAGAAAATACACCCAGAAAACTTAATCGTTCATGACCTGATGTGGCATCCACCAAGTGATCTATTCTAGGTAGAGGGTACGAGTCTTTTGGATACACCTTGTTTAGTCCGGTATAGTCTACACACATACACCATTTTCCATTCGATTTCTTTACCATGACAACATTTGCCAACCACTTGAGATATTGTACCTCTCTAATGAACCCTGTCCGCAGTACCTTATCGACCTCATCCTTCACCGCAGCCTGTCACTCTGGGACAAGATTTCTTTTCTTCTATTTTATAAGCTCAGCGCCCAGTAGAACACCAAGGCAATATTGTGCAAACAGATGGATCAATCCCTTGAATATCTCTTGGGCACCACGTAAAAAGTTCAAATTACTGGACAGACACTTCATCGATTCTTCTTTTTTCTCTGGCCCCAAGTCTGCCTCTATGCTAAATTCATGCCCCCGGCACCAAGATTTGTCCCATAGTATCGAGGGGCTCAATTCTCCCCCTTGGAGGCTCAAGATCTAGCATTATCATTGGTGATGATCCATTCGTCTGTATACTGACAACATAACACTTCCTCGAGAACTATTGATTGCCCCTCATATACCCCACACCACGACTGGTTGAGAATTTATCACTTGGTGGCATTTAGCAAGGGCCGATTGTAGATTGCATTATACGCCGTGGGGGTCTTGGCAACCAAAAAATTAGTCAAAATCACCACCTTTGCAGGATAAGTACCCAATGTCACTGGTAATTATACGACTCTCTCCGGTATCACAGTAGCCCCTCCGAATCACAGGACGGGGTGGATACTGATTTCAATTTTTCCAATGAAATTTTCAACCTCATAAATGCTTCCCAAGTAAGAACATTCGCTGCACTACCACCATCAACTAACCTTCTGCTTGCCTCGATCATTTATCATGTATTTAGTAAAAAATCCCGTTTTAAGAGACACTCGATTTCTTCCTTCAAATGATTGCATTCTTCTGTATCGTGCCCATAATTTTTATTGAAATGGCAATACTTGCTCTTATCCCTCTTGCTGGCGGATGCTGCCGTTGGTCTCGGCTAGTCAAGCTCTTTCATATCCCTAATTTCCATCAATATCTTTGCCCACGGAGTATTTAGAGGGGGTGAAGGCCTTGACCCCCTCTCACTTCTGTTTGATGGATCGATCCTAAACGTATCCCTTGCTCATGCGCTCATTTCTCGATCTGCCTTTATCAATAAGTCTTCGCTCATCACCTGACTTTCGCTTGTAACTTTCTGTCTCCCATCCCTCTTTAAGATTTTTCGTGACCTTCTCTGCTTCCTCTACATCAACATACTTGTCACCCTTTTTCAGCATGTCATGCATCGATTCTGGAGGGTTTTTAGATAGTAACATCTTAAAAGCCCGATTCCGCATCTCATTCATTAACATTGTTACTACTGCAGACATCTGAAGGTGCCTTATACAAGTTTCTCCCGGCTGAACCTATTTAAGTACTCCTACAAAGATTCATATTTCTCTTGTACAACCTGTATCAATCCAATTGTCGTATTTCGTTTCCTCTTGCTACTCATGAAGTATGCCACAAAACTCTTGAAAAGCTAGTCAAAAGTCTTTATAGACCTTGTTCGCTAAAATAATATACCGCAAGTGCACGGGTCGCGTTCAAGTAATAAAGTGGACTTTTTGAGTCCGGGTTGTCGATCCCTCGAGGAATGCTTCTTTTAATTACACAAATTTAGTCAATTTAATTTTGACAATAAGAACAAACATACAATAAAATTTGATTTTGGAAAATATGAGAAATTAACTAAAAATCTACAAAATAAGAAAACGTAAACACTTGGAAAGTTTGGAGGGAAACGTGATTGTGATTCATGGTTTCGCTTTACCGTCACCTAATTAATTTCTCACAAGCTACTTAATAAATTACTCATTTACGATGTTAGATCCGATTTTTCAAGTTTAGTTAATAATCTCTCTTGAGTAAAATTAACCCTAATTAATTGGTTTAACCTACCATATCTCTATATTGATTTAAACCAAACAATCGCATTAAATATTTGTGAAAACAACTCAATGAATCACCCAACGTTAGCGATATATCTTTATCCACTACACAAACCTAGGGTTTCTACTATTTGGTCAAAAATGCACAATCTTCTCTCGAATGACATACAAATCACTAAACATAATCATTCATTGGCCATATAAACGAGAATGCAATAATAACAATAGTAGAAACACATGAAAATAAGTGAATTAACATCAAAAAGTAAATATTAAAATT